CGAATATTGAAATATGCCTGGTAGCTCGTATAGTCGTACATTAATAATTATTCTCAGTACACGTTGACAATTAATATTATTTCGATAGCAGTTTAATATGTTGTCAACTTCGTGTCAATACGTAAAAATAATGAAAGGTTTAAATTGTAGAAATCTGACATTATAAAAACAGTCATCCATATCAATCGTTAATCTCTGGATAGAAAATAAATATTACATAAGTTAACATGGTCCTAAATGAATACTAATTTTCAGCCAGTTGACGACGCAAATTACATTAATGTTCTATATTAATATAAAAAAAATTATATTCCTTAAAGTGGTCCGTAGAATTTAGAGTATGTATTTAGTGGTCCGTAAGGTCCAAAAGGTTGGCGACCGCTGATATAGAGTATAGACTATAGTGTGATGACTGATTTATGTATGTAAACAAATCCTCCACCACGCGCGCAAACCATTTTACTAGAAAATAATAATTGTTCGATACCATTCGACTATTCGAGTACTTTTGATTTTTGAACCAATATGGCGGTTAGTAAATGATTTGATACTATTCATTCGATACCAGTATTTTTGGGTAAAGTATGGAAACCATGGTATCGAAACAAAAATTACTTTTATCGATACTTAATTGATATCGGTAATATCACAATGTCCCTAGTTACGCGGCGCGTCGTCGGGTTTTTGAGCATTCGACCGCGTCCGTTAGCTTATTTTAAACTATATTTCATATAAATATTTTGTTTACAGAAAGAACCATGTCCGCGCATGCCTACATAAATCGGGGTCTGTAAATATGTAAGATTTTTTATTTATTTTATTTTTATTTTTTTGGGGGATATTCTGGGGGGGGGTTCAGGGGTATTGGACTCCCTTCCCCGTAAATACGCCACTGCTTACATATTACCATAGGCTTGAACGGAGCTGTACTTCAGTGCCAAAAATACTTTTGGACCCTATTTAAACCGTATAGGTAATATTTACTAGGTATATTTCATACATTTTAATAAATAAATAATTAAATAAACATAACTTTAATTTTTAATTTAATGTTGTGGTTAGTCCCAATGAATATGTTTTCTTTGAATCTCGTATACTTTCTTCAGATAGTTTCAATTATGTACCTATAAATGCCTAGAAAGATAGAGGTTGCAGTTAACATATTGTGTATTGGCCACGCGAAACCTTCCCATAGTTACCTAATGAATTAAAAAGAACCTCCAATTTGCCAAACATGTGGTGTGCAACTAAATATCAAACACATACTAACGGAATATCTAAAATATGAGTCTCACAGAAAAAAAACAATCTACCTGAACATATTCACTCATCGCTCGGTATTTGACAAGAATCTGTAATGTATCTAATTAAATTCATCATCTCCTCAAAATTATTTATTAATATTAAAATACAGCAATTTATAATCAATTAAATTTACTCTGTAAAATTATAAACCTCTTAGCAACGTAACGTAAATATCTGTAAATCTCAATGGCTTATGCTGCCAAGAGTTATTATTTAAATAAAAAATATAAAAATGTAAAAATAAAAATCACATTTTAAAAAAATAATTAATTCTTGATTTTGTTTATAATGTAATAAACATCAATCATGGACTATAGTTGAGAAGTTCATAAATATATAGTTCCTGATAAAAGGCTTTGATTTACTTCTAATTTGGTTTTGTTGTCTCGATTCTTTAGTCATTTGTTTATAATTTTAAAACTTGTAACTTGTAGGTTAGGTAAGGTACAGACATAAAAAAGTTGAGAACCGTGGATTTTGGGTAGTACAGATTTGGTTACAGTAAAATTGGGTTTTTTTTGCTTAGAGTTTATAAATTATGGTTACATCATGATTCATAGATCAAAGTGCATTCTATAGACGTATAGATATATGTAACGATTGTATGTTATCTTGAATCATAATCCATTGTTGTCAACAGTGTTGTTACCAATTTGCCATAAGTAATTATCTTAAATTTATGTAATTCTTACCGTACACTATGTTTAATTATAATTGGTTAAAAACTATATTATAACTTATCAAAATACCGAATGCTTGGAATGAAAATTAGATATAGGTAATATACATTATAAACTAACTCATTACAATAACAAGTATAACAAGGCTTGCGAGGATTTTAAATCTCTACACATCATATTGAATGACTTTCTTTTTTTTGGTGTAATGTTCTTATAAATACAAAAATAAGTATATAATTTTGTAATTTAAATATTTATTAGCTAATACAAAAATACATTATTATTGTATACAACCTGACGATTAAATAACTATATTATAATAGTATGATGTACAATATTATTCTATGTTTTATAATTAAATAATACTATCTTCTTCTTCTTGTGGGTTACGTCCTTCAAAACCATCCCTGCAAACAAATTTGCCGGCCGCCATCTTTCCCTATCCTCTGCAGCTTCTCTCCACTGTGAATTTGGTTTTACTGCTTTAATATCCTTTCTGATACGATCCTCCCATCGTAAACGCGGTCTTCCTAACGGTATTTTCCAGTCGGATTTTCTTTAATAACCGCCTTAATGAAAGAGCCCTCTTTCCTCCAGGCATGTCCAGCCCACATTAATCTTCTCCTATTAATTTCGGATATAATATCTGGTTTTTGAAACAAGTTCTTCAGTTTATCATTGTGGCGTATCCTCCATTCTACAGTGTCAGAATCGATATATGATAGACATGGTCCATAGATTTTTCTTACAATTTTTCGTTCAAACACCGCAAGTCTTGTTTCCTCTACCTTTCAAAGTGTCCACGTCTCAGAGCCATATAAAACTACTGGTCTTATCAGGGTCATGTACAATTGTATTTTTAATTTTGCTGACAAGATTTTTGAGCTAAACATATTCCCTAAGCCAAAAAAAACACTTATTTTCCATTTGAATCCTAGTGTCCACCTCCATCTTAAGGTCACTATCTTTTGTTATTATAGATCCTAAGTATTTAAAATGTGACGCTCTCTTAAACTTATGGTGATCTATTTCCATCAATTCACCTTGTCGGTATTCTCTACTTCTTCTTCCAGTTATGACATACTTCGTTTTTTTGTCATTGATCTTTAAACCACATTTGCCTGCTACATTTATTAGTTTTCTACAATTCTCTTTTACAGTATCTAAATTATTTCTCAAAAGGGCTAAATCATCGGAATATGCTAGTAAACCTATTGTCGTGTTACCCATCGTAACCCCGTCAATAGTATTTAATTCTCTGACAATTTTTTCAAGCACTAGATTAAAGAGGACGGGAGAAAGAGCGTCTCCTTGTTTTAAGCCCGTAGATACTCTAACTGTCTCTGATACTGCATTCGCAATTTTAATTTTTATCGAAGTGTTTTCAAGACTAGCCTTAATCAAGTTTACTAGTTTTATTGGGAAGTTAAATTCTTTTAATATGTTGATTAAGGTAGGTCTATGGATGGAATCATATGCTTTCTCAAAATCGATAAATATAATGTATAACTCTTTGTTATATTCCCATGACTTTTTGCAATTTGGCGAATACAGAAAATCTGATCCGTTGTAGACCTGTTAGGTCTAAAACTCCCCTGGTATTCTCCCAGAATACCTTCCGATAAAGGTTTGATCCTATCGAGTATACAATACGCCAGAATCTTATAGGCAACATTTATTAGAGCTATACCTCTATAATTTTTACAGCCTTAAGGGTCATTCTTCTTATGTATTGGACATATTAATGAAGTGTTCCAATCTTCCGGGAGTCTCTCATTTTCCCAAATCAGTTCTATTACTTCGTGATTTCTAGATTTCGCTTCTTCATATACCCTCTTCAGAATTTCTGCTTGAATACCATCTTCTCCCGAGGATTTATGATTTTTAGCCTTTTGATTTGTACGGCAATTTCTTATTTAGAAGGTGTTGGATAAACGCTATCGTTTGTAGTTATGTTTAATTTTGGAAATTCTTTCACTGGGTCATCACAGTTAAGGAGTTTCTCAAAATATCCAGTCCACTTCTCCAGAAGCTTCCCTTGTTCAGTCACTAGCGTCCCATCATCTTCTCTTAGAAACCTCTCGTTTCTTATATCCTCCTCTTGTCGTGTTTATCTTCTAATATAGTTGTCGTATATTATTTATTCTAAAATTTTGTTCTGCTTCTTCTAACAATTTTTGAGCGTACAACCGTTTTTCTTTTCTTAATGTGTTATGTGCTTCTTTTTGGTATCGTTTATACTGTTCTTCTTTGTCTTTATTTGTAGGATCACCAAGCCATATGGTCCTTAGACTCTTTTTTGAACTAGTACTTTCTCGCATATTTCATTAAACCATGGCTTCTTTATTTTTTTTGTTTTACCCAAAACTAATTCTGATACTGTCTTTATTAAGTCTCTCACTTTTTCCATCTTTCGTCAATTGACCCTATACTATCAAAATGAATGGTTCTCATCTGTTCATTTAGTCTGTTTTAAAGACATCAACTCTTCTCTTCGGACTCTAACTTGGATACATCATATCTGTCCAGAATAATCCCAGTAGATCGAGCGGGATTTTTAAGTTTTACTTTAATTTTTCCTTTAATAAGAAAGTGATCGGAGTCACTATCTGTCCCTCTTACAGTCCGAACATCTTGAATACAGTTGCTGAATCTCAGATTTATTAGTATATGATCAATTTGGTTTATATACTTTCCGTCCGGTGAGTTCTAAGTACCTTTATGTATCATTTTATGTGGGAATATGGTACTTTTAACTACTAGACCTCTTTCAGTTGCCAAGTCAATTAGTCTTAGTCCGTTGTCATTACTTGTGTAATGTAAGCTATGGCTACCTATTACTAGTCTGAATGTGGTCTCTTTCCCAATCTTCGCATTCATATCACCAAGTACAATTTGAATTCTTTTCCTTGGTATTGTGTTTAGCGTGGCCATAACATCTTTGTAAAAAAGGTCCTTTTCCTCTTGTCGTTTGTCTTCTGTAGGTGCATGTAAGTTAACGAAACTAATATTTAATCACTGTGTCGTCAGAGTTAGGATTGATATTCTGGGGTTTACATCTCTGAAGTCCTTTATAGCTGGTATTAGACTCTTATGTACCGTGAAACCTGTACCAAATTGTCGTTGGTCGTTACACTTCCCATAGAAAACTGTCGTGTCTTGAATATCCACTGATCCTGAATCACTCCATCTAATTTCCTGTAGAGCTACCACTTTAAGTCTATATCTTTCAATTTCAGATACTACACCCTGTGCAGCTCCTATCTTAAAAAGAGTGCGAACGTTCCATGTACCAAAAAGTAAAGCATTTTTCCAGTTTCCAGTCGTTTTTCCATTATCTCCACTTATGCGAGGCAAATTTGTAAGTACCTGAACACAAAGTTTTTTACAAGGTAGGGTTGTTAGCCCTGCGCCTAACCCCCAACCTGGAGGACCGGAGCTCGGGGCTCCGGGTTCGCCAAACCTGTAGTACTAATTACTTGGTACCCCCCTGAGGGAAGAATAAAATAATACTACATTAAATGTTATTTTCTCTCAACTTATATTAACCAGGACATGCCTTTAAAGCCGGGATGAATGGCAAGTCTAACTAACTTTTGTATAATCTGGGAAATCAATCTTTGCTATTGAATTGCCTAATTATTTTTAGAATTTTATGATGTTCTCAATTACTAATAAATTGTGTAATTATATTATTATTATTTTTAATTTTAGAAGTTCTATACTACATTTAATTCTTCGTCATAATCATAAATTAATTTTAATATTATAGTCGGTGGCGTTTTTCAAATTTTTTTTTAGGAGGGGAATTTCAATTTTTCTGATAAATAAGTGTCTATCTATATATGTCTTTTAGTCCAGTAGTCTGTGAATTAATTTAAATTCTTCAATATGTAGTGGCGTATTTAGAGGGAGTGAAGAGGGCGAATGCCCTTAGTAGCAAAATGTTAACAGTTTTAGGGGTGGCGGTTTTAATCGTATCAAATTATTTTGAGTTGAATGTGATGTAAATACGACTGATAACGTATAAAACGAATTATTACTAAACAAGTTAAATGTATATTTGTAAACAATCTATGGTGTAAGGTGTAATGTGTACTTTTTTGGGGTTTTTTATGATACCTATCTACTCGCATAGGCAAGGAAAAAATTGTAATTAAACTCTTTTAAACCGTTTAATAAAATTTACTTATTATTATTTGGTATGATTTTTTAATTGAACGAGACACTTTGATATTGTGTACTGTTAAGGATCTACATTTTAATATTTTATTCAAAACAAGCAAAGGACATATTTTTTCATTAACTGAAGATGGAAAGAGGAGGTGTGAGCAGGAGCGAATCCAGAGCCATGGTTGGGGGGGGGGGGGGGGGGGGAGAAAAATAGGAAGGTGGGGGGGGGGGGGGGGGGTTAAGTTATAAATTTACAAAATCTTATAACAAAAAGAAAAGAAAAATTTAGTCCGTACAGAAATGTGTGCTACGTAATACATGTTTTGAACATTATAAAATAATAATATCATAGCATCATACCATAGTATGTTATATATTAAAATAGTTTATTTATAGCCTTATTGGTTCTTCATAATATAGATAGCAGGTACATCGTATACACCGTCATACCTTTATGGATCTATCTACATACTTGTGCGTGTCGTATAATAGCTCGTAATATAATTTGCATTTTTTGTTAAAAATATAAATTTTTTTATAAATACGGTACGGGCTTGGGGGGGCGTGGTCTCTAGGTTCCCCCCCCCTGAACCCGATCCTGGGTGTAAGGTTATAAAGAGCAGTGACAAGTTGGGAGGGGGAGCAATAAAATAATTTCGCCCCGGGGCGCATACATTTTAAATGCGCCACTAGTAATTTGTACCGCGGCTGTGTTTGGGATGTAGCTGGTGTAATGTTTGGCATGTGTAACTGAAAGCGCTATCTAGTAATGATTAGGCGTTATGTTGTTTTTTTTTTTTATCAGAATTCAATATTATAAATATACAAGATCGACTGCATAATGATAAAATATTGAATAGCAAAAACAAACATTATGTGTTTTTTTTTATTTTTATTTCATGATAATTATGTTTAAATTGTACTGAAAATTTTTATCTATATGCGCAGCTGTGGGAAAATTATGTATTTTAGAACGAGTTACATTTGAATAATAATAATCGCATGAATATAATTATTATTACACATTTGTCAACTAGTTTAAATACAGTCAATTTATTGGAGGTAATAATTGTTGTTAAACATTTTACTGTTTTTTTCTCTTATTTGTTATATTATTTTATAGCCATATGTCTGCTAGAATGGTGTCCAGAGGTGGTAAAACCAGATTTTTCGGTTTCGTGTGCATGGTTTTGGTCTTTTCAGCCATATTATACGTGTTTCATGAAACCCAAGTGGAGCTGGATAATGTTCGACACTCTTCCTCTTCTTGCTCTCATCAACTTGAATCTATTTCATCACAGTTACAAGGTATTCACCATCAAATATATTATGTTTAATTTATTTGTATCTGTGTATGGTTGTTATATTTTACAGTCATTGTCGAGCATAAGCTGAAGTTGGAGAGATCATTGGAAGATGAAAAACAGGAACATCTTAAAACCAAGGATGAGCTTAATGCAATTATTCAAGACGAGAAACAATTGCGCGATAAGCAAAATGTTGACTCAATGAATCGTTATAATGAAATAGAACGAAACCATGAAGTATTGCAAGTAATGTATATTAATTTTTTTGGGTAATATGTTATTGTTATATATGTATAAATAACCGAAAATAATCGGTTTTGGAACCGGAACTTTTTAAATAGTAGGAACTGAAACCTTTATATTGATAAATTAAGTAACGGGACCAAACTGGAATTTTTAAATTAGAAAGGTTCTTTTAGCCTCCAAAATTTTTTTTATTTAGCATAACTTATTAGTTATTACTATTTTGTTTATAAATAATCAGACATCAATTCTCATAATATTTATACTTAGAACTATCAAAATTATCTAGAATCGGTACCTTTATTTTTTTTTAACCTAAAACCAGAACTGTACTGGAACAGTTATTTTATTTGTTGAGAACCAGTACCGTAACTGGTAATAATAAATTTAAACGGTTCCAGTCCTTGGTTTAAATATCTAGTATATTAAATAATAATATTTATTTAGCTTATATAATATTGTATCACCTTTAGAAATATGATAATGATCAATTTGTGAAATAATAAAATGAACATATTTTTAGATACACAATATATTTTCATATAATGTTATGATTTTATTTTGTTATTGAATGTTAGATTATTGAAAATGAAAGAAAACATAATTTTAGTATCCTAACCTGATTATAATACTTTTTGAATCCTTATTATTGTATTTAATTAAATGATTTTTTCAAAATATTGTACCACAAAGTTCAAAGTGATCTAAACCATTTCTTATGAGTTCAGTAATTCTTAATTTTTGAATGTGTATATGTATATACATTAAAGGTGTTTACAAATTGTATAAATATGTGCCACAGAGTATGCTTTTTATGTACCTGATCAAACTTACTATTTTTAAGGGCTGGTTATCTTTTGAATATGGTTGGATCTAGTGATTATTTCAGGGGGTATAACCCACCCCCCTCTGAAAAATGTATTAATTATTAATTATTTACTTCTATGGCATACCGTATAATACATACTCTCTCCCTGAAATGTACAATACCTCATCTAGGATAGACAATCTGAAATAAACACTGGTTGGTTCACTGCATGCATATTTAGTCCAGTAAAAATGTCATTATTGGGATAAAATAATAATTTGAATCAGCTACTATAAAATATTTTCAGATTTTATCTGTGTAATATTTATCAGTTGACCATTTAAATTAAATAAAAAAAACAATTTATGAATGGATTATTTTTAAGAGTTAATAAAATTATTAAGAAATATTAATCTTTGTTATGCCTTATATAAAACATTGTACTTATTTATTAATCCATTTTTATGGAATAAACTAACTAATTTGGCATAATTTAAAGGAGGAAGAAAAAAAAATAAGGAGAGAATTGGAAACATTAAAACTAAATTACATAGGAGAAAAAAAGAAATCTGCACAACTCGCTTTCGAATTGGATAATGTAAAAATGCAACTACAAAACTTTATAGTTAGTAATATGTTATAATTTAAATAATATATATTATAATTTATTCATGGTTTTTTTAAATTTAAGAACGAAAAGGTTAAATTGAAAAGTGAAAAAGAAAACATTGAAAATTATCAAAATAATAATCTACTTAACTCAAAAGAAATTTCTGATACAAAATATGTACAAAAGTCTATTGATAATTCAAATGTCACTAAAGTATGTCATATTAATCGATAATATATTACAATTTAACCATTCCTAAATTATTATGTTATGTATTTTGAATTTTGTTTAGTTAAAATCTGGTTCAGTGACTCCAGCAATCAATCCACAAGCAATTGATGATGCAACTGCTAAGAGTTCAACACCCATGGTATATATTCAATAATTTTAAAATTACTTCTGTTTATAATCTATATATGTTTTTGTTGTTATTTGTTTTAGATTAGTTCAAAAGTGATGTCTGACAATAAAACTCAACTCAATGAAAAGGTATTATGATTTTTAAAAATTCTTCAGATATTTTCTAATTTAAATTTTAAGGAAGCAAGGAATGTTTTAGTATTACCATGATGTATTATTTTTTTAAATTTTTGATTCTGTAAACATGATTCGACCAAAAAAAATTATTTGATCATCATAGTCATTTTTTTAAGAAATATTGTCTATTTTATATATGGGGTAATTTTATGAATTTCTTAACAGTTTTCTTGATAATTGTAAAAATTTGTTGTTTTAACATTTTAATATTATTGTAATTTTCTACTAGAATATGATATGTTGTTAAAAACTAATATTTCAATGAATTTCAATTATACAATACTAGTGATTTGATTGTTATTCTATAGATATTGTAGCTACTTAAAAAATATACCGAGTACATATTTAATTTAATAATTTTAAAATATTTTAATGGCATTTATGTTGTTTGTAGAAATTTAAAATTTTCCTGAAATTTTAATTGGATATATTTCAATATCATCAATAGCATTTTGTTATCATTTACTTACATACAAAGATGCAATTTTTTTATTTTCAAAAGTTAGATTATTATAACCAACCTTATCCATAAATTTGTTTCTACTACTTTATCAATCATATTTAGAATTATAAACTAATCCACGTAATCTTTCACTTAAAACGCTGTTTTCAAGAGTAATGATATATTGATTTTATTTTTAAATGATCAATACAGCAATTTCGTTTATTCGTCCTTGTATGTCACTCTACCTAAGAGTCTCGCCCATTTTTTATTGTAGATTTATACAATCATTAAATTAAATTAAAATGTTTTATAGGATAATGCAAATCCAATTAATCAACCAAGTATAGATCCAAGCTCTATTAATTTATCTAATATTGCTATGGTATCTCAAAATGAAAATAATTTGGCACAAGTAAGAATCAAGCTTTATGTATAATAGATTTATATAATATTTAAATTTAATCTATTTCTATATATTTCTTTATATTTCTTTTATAGGAATCTCAAGTTAACGAAAATGAAATTATGAAGGCTATGGCAGCACCACCTCAAGAAGAGATACTTCAGAAAGAACAACCTAATAAGTAAAAAATATTTTATTTTTAACATATTTCATTGTTATGTAAGAATATTAATTTAATTTTATGTTATTAATTTCAGTAATGAAGAAGATAAATTACCAAAACCAAAAAATAATTCATATGATGATGAAGCAGAGCAATTCAAAGAAGATGGTGAGCTAGAGAGTATGCTATTTTTTTAATTTAATACTATAATTCAATAATTATTTAATCTTAATGTTTTTTTCTTTGATTGTTGGTATATTGATAAATTTTAAATTAATTTAAATTAAGTTTACTAAAGTTTAAATTAAATAACAAATTATAACATTTAATTATATTTAACTATAACAATTATTAATTTTTATTCAAATTATAAATTTTTGTTTTAAGTATATACATATTTGCACATCATTTTTTTATTTATAGAAGATGATGAAGATATGAATGATTTTGATGCTAGAGAAGAAAGTCAACCTGTGCGCCAATAATTGTATTTATATTTTGTTACAAATATATACAGTTATCGTAAGTTGAATTTTTAAATTACATTGTTTTTATTATTTATCACAACAATGTCCATGTATTTCATTTATTTATTGTATTAGTTTATATTATACTTTCTGAGGTATTAGCAACTGAACTATTTTTAACTTCACACTTACATTCAGATAAAAATTAACTTTTCCACTAAAGATGGATCTTTAGTCTCCATATTGCTTTAACATTTAATAATTTAGCTATTATTTAACTTTAGTTAGGATAGATGTTTCTATTAAATTAATATGTATTTTTAATTATTATTAAGTGTTGTCAATACTTTTTTATTTAGCAATTATTATAAACATCTAGTTATTGTTATTGTATTTTCATTTTGTGTTTGTACATTTTTTACTTAGAAATTATTATATGTCATTTCTTGATAGATTACTTATTATATTTGCCAAATATATAAGAATAATTTTTCAATTTATATTTTTAGATTACACCAGATAGAATATAATTGAACAGTCGCTTTAATCAAAGAAAACAATGGATTTATTTAATAAATATTGACGCCATAAGTATATTTTAATTTTTATATAATTATTACTTTTATTTTAATAGAAATAATTTAATTAAGAATAATTGTAGGATCTTAATAATATGAAGCTTTTTTTTACACTAGGTATAAGGTATGTTGTGCTTGTACTTGTATTATGATAATTTTTTATTCAATATCTAGCATAAAAAATCTCATTGTGATGTTCTCGTATACTAATTAAAATATTACTTTACCATCCAAACTTATGTATTTAAATTATAAAGGTCTTCCTTAAAAATTATGAAATCAAGTTAATATTGTTTTTTATTTAGAGCTTACAAATGTTAATAATTTATACGCCTAATTAATTTTGTTGTGACTTAATTAAATTTTTTGTATTCTTAATTTAATAAAACCCAACGAGTGTTTATTTAATAATACTTGAAAATGTTCATCACATTTTAATTGTATGTGATTTTTTTTGTTTTACTTACTAGGATTATGTAACTAATAATTAATAAATAATTTATTATTTTTGTAAAAGAATTTTTTTTTCAATTGATAAACTAATCTGTTGTTAGTTAGATATTCTTTTTATTTTTATTTTATTTTGATATTTATTTTTTTAAAATCTACAATAGTATAATTTTATTATTTTATATTCTATTCAACTTTTTTTGAATGCAAGTTCCACTTAATCCTGATGCACATAGACTTTTAGATGTAATGGAGTCTAAGTTTTCATTGAGTTTTCACATTGTAACTTGATTTATAATTATTTATCTTCTAGACATGACTGTAGCCAGAGGGGCTTAGGATTCATACTACCCCCCTGAATTTTTTTCTTAAAATAAAAATAATTTTAAATGTCTAATACATTTAAAATTTTAAAATTTGCTAGTCCACAACTAGTCCTGTTTAGACATAATTGAAATTTATAACTGATTTTAAATTAGAAGATAGCATAAAATAAATGCAGAGTTCAATGAGCTCATTGAAAAAAATCAAAGATTATCGTAAATCAACATTGAATGAAGACAGTATTAATGATTATGAAATGCTTTATATAGAAAGAGATACAGCAGAGTTGATAGATTTCCAATCTACCATCAACCTTTTTTCAGAAAAAAGTCAAAAAAGGTTATAAAAGTGTATTGAACATATAAATAGTTATTTTATTTTGTATTTACGTTTTTCAATATTATTAATTTTCAATTATTATACGAGTTGGTAACATAATTTAAATTAAAGTAAGTATTTTATTATGTATTCTTGAATTAAATTTAAACAATTATTAATGACATTTTATAATTTAATTCTTGTATATGGAGATATTATATAAGAAAAATAGTTTTTAGTATGACTTAGTAGTAATTTTATGTAGATTTAAATTCATTAGAATTTAAATAACATTTGTATTTATAATTTTAATGCATAACTAATAGTAATTTATCTATTTGTATTCAATATTTCAGTTGTTTTTAAATAATTGAAGCAATTTTTTTATGAGTTAGAGTTGGAATTATTATGTTAACAATTAACTTTTTTGGGGGGGAGGGATGTAGAATAATTCTCTCACTCAACCTTGTTTAACATTTTAAATAAGATATTATAATTAAGTGGAGGCTTGGGCTCTAATTTTTAATGTCCGACTGGCCATTTTAGATCCGCCGCTGATTATGTATTGTATAATATATTTAGAATATGGATATTGAAATATTCGTAAAAAAGTACGAGATATTGATATCGTTGGTGAAGCCTAATATCTACAAATTATATTATATGGTTATAAATTATAATCCATGTATAAACATACATTCGGTTGCATCAGAATATATATAGGTATAAGAATTATATGTTGGATTACATTTATTGATGCAGAGATAATTATTAGTTTCACGTACAGTCGAGTCACGATAATTCTGATACGATTCTATCGAGGAAGAAAATATTTGAGTTATTTATTTAATAGTTGAGTTAAGTATTTAAATTAAAATATTAAATTGTAAACGAAAATACTTCAAAAGAAATTCAAGTTGCTGTGACTCTAGGGCAGGGGTGGCGAACCTTTTTTGGTTTAAGTGCCAAATTTTTCTTTTTCAGGTTTTGAAAATCATTTACGTGACCAAAGAAAATTATATTTTCTAAGACTATAAACAAAATTACAGATTTATTACATTATTTTTATTAAATTTTAATCATTCTTAGTGAAATACAAGTAGCAATTGTTTCATTGGTCAAAATCTTTCTTTCCTTCGATTTAATTACATTTTTTATAGCGAATAAGCTTTCACGAATATAGGTTGACGAAAAATATGTAAGCATAAGGAATATTGTAATTTTTAAAACATATAATTTGTTTATTTGAATTTCTTATATATGTTTATGATTTATACAAGTGAGTGCAAGCAAAATGTCAGTTCAATTAATTAAATTATAACTCCCCTAAAATCTGTATAAAATATTAATACAGTTTCTGCACTTTTATTTGTTAATTGTATTGGCTCTCTATTCATTGAATTTCGTCCTGAAAAATAAATCGGCTTATGGTTAGTCAAAAGTAAATATTCAGTAATGACACTACAAGTCGTAAATATGAAAAAATAATTAAAGATACACAGCATTGTGGAAACCAAATGTAATTTAAAATGCATATATAAATACAATATATGAAATGTTTTTTATAAACTATTTAATTTGAATTGTATAATTATATATTTTTAAGTTTAAAATGATTTATATTAATTATTTAGAATCTATTTAATAAAATATTATTTTATTGCAAAGTAAACACAAATTAAAATAATTAAAATTAAAATTATAATAATAATTAACATTATTATCTGCATATTATTTTTATGAGCGTTCCAGTTCGTAAAATTTTCCATTTTGAGCACTGAGAACATCCAAACAGTGAACTCATAAATACTGATGCTTCTAAAACAAATAACGGAGTCTAACTCGCAATTATAATAAATAATCAAAGAATAGCATACAAACTCTTTCCACAATCCCCAATATTCACAGCAGAATCGATCATAATTTACAAATACGTATACACTTAATATACAAATACACAAACAAAATGTTTTCCATAATTTTTTTTTATTTTTTTTATTTTACAATTCGATACACACAATCTGTACAACGTAGCACAATAAATATATGTGATATTATGATAGTAACATGAACATTTTGAATTAAGAAATCACCCATTGGTGACACTTGGCTTGGGAATTAACGATATCTAGAGTCTAGAACTTCGTTGTTTTTTTTCTTTTTTTTTCATTTATTTATAACAAGTCATGGCACCAGTTCCTTTTTAGAAAAACGACCGGGGTTTCTTGGTATAGTTTGAGTGTAAAGGTTCTTTATCAATGGATTTTGGTGGGTTTGTAGGTGATTATGAAAGCGTTTGTAGAAATCTACAGCTTCTTCTGTCACAATTTTCATTGTGAGGTCTTTATGTAAGGTATAATTGGATACAAAAAGTGGAACATTTGTAATTTTCCTAAGAGCTATATTCTGGAACTGATGAATTTTGTTGGTATTAGACACTTTTGCAGTATCCCATAATTGAAGACCATAGGTCCACATTGGTTTTAGTAGTGTTTTATACATAAGAAAATTAACTTTTAATTTAGTGACAATTAAGATTATGGCTTTGTCATCCACATAATCGGCTACTATAGTATTTTGAGAGACAGGCTGATCTGATGCATAAAATACATTAAATATACATTAATTAACTGATACATTAAATAACAGGGGTGAAAGGATTCCACTCTGAGGAATACTAGCAAAATTTTTTCAATTCCCGAGACAGAAGATCCAAACCAGATTTTAAAGTGGCGGTTTGTTAGATGAGATTTAAGCAATAAGTATAAGGAGGAGGGAAAGGATTTTTTTTAATTTGAAGAGTAGGCCTTCATACCAAATTTTATCAAACGCTTAGCTTATATCGAGAGCACAAGTCACATATTTTTAAGTATAAGTGCAGTAAAATTTTTTTTCTAGGGAAAATGAGATTGCGTCAACTATTCTGTGTACTTGATGTATTGTACTATGCGCCGAGCGAAAGCCAAATTGAAAGTTTGGTAGAAATTTATTCCTGACGATGTAGGATAAAAGCCTTTTAAGTATTAGCCTTTCTAATACTTTTGCTAGAAATAGTAATAAGCTTATTGGCCTGTATGATGAAGGCAAGTCCAGTGGTTTGTCAGGTTTAGGAATTAAAATTGTATTGGAGAATTTCCATAGGAGCGGAAAATATGAGAGTTGTAAGATTGAATTAAATAAATGGGTTAGGAATAGAATAGCTTTATTCGGTAGGTACCTAGCGACTTCGGCGGTAATTAAATCGAAGCCGGGAGATTTTTTAACAGAATACTTCTATATTGTGGATTTAATTTCGTTTGGTGTAAAACTTTTTTCAGGAAGATAAAGAGGCATGGGAGAATCCAGATACTGATTTATTTCTGCGCTGAGAATTGAATTAAAGATATCAGGATGTGGCTTAAATATTTCAGATAGGTGATGATGGAAAACTTCGGCTTTGTCTTCATCAGTTACAGAAATAGGTATCATTTTTTATTGAGGATGGTAGGCTAGCTACCTACCGTAGAAGTTTATTTGTTTCTTTCCAAAGACTGCCGTCTGAGGAGGATATATTTGATAATATTTGTTCTAGTATATCTGATTTATATTTTGAAATGTATTTTTTAAGCGAGTTGGCCAGTTTTTTGTATATTATTTTATAAGAAGGTAAGCGGGAGGTTTAATATCAGGTTCTAGCTTTTCTTTTTTCAGTTATTAGTGAACGTATATGTTGTGGGAGTAAGGGGTTTTTAGGAGTTCGAGGACTAATTGAATATGACTGTGACTCTCGGGCCGCTATTTGGATGATAGAATTGAATTTATCCATTGCATTGTAAATATCATCATATGTTTTTAATTTGAAATTTAGATTTATTTCTTTTTCTACTAAGTTATGGAATTTGATACGGTCTGTTAATAGAGAAAAAAGTTTTGGAGGTGTCATTTTAATTGTTGGGGAAGCACTGACTGTTAAAATAATGGATAAATGGTCGGAATTTAGATCTAAGATATTTTTCGGGTTGCAGTATAAATTACTTGGCTCTTTACTAACAAATATGTCTAGTATATCAGGTTTTTTTACGTATAGAAGATGGCCAGTATATAGGATCCGGTGGAGCCAATATCGAGTATTTTTATCATTGGTAAAATTGTAGATGACATTATCTCGGGGGTTGGTTGTACGACACCCTCATCTTTGGTGTTTGGCACTTATGTTTCTACCAATTATGAAATTGGAGTTAATTGTTGAGAAGTAGTCGTTAAACTGAATAGTTGTGATTTTGTGTCTCGGAGGACAGTAGATTGAGGAAATAGTGATCGGTATGTTATTTAGCTTAATTGTGACAGCACAAGATTGTACGTATTCAAAGGTTAAATTGGGGAGTGATGAGAAAGACGGGATAGATTTAATGATGATGGCAACACCACCATGTGTCGTGTTGTCAGGATGACTCCTCTGGAGTAGCAGTTTGGATTTTTAATTGTAGAAGATTTACAGAAAAATTTATCTTTGCCAATAAGTTTGCTTTTTTTCATTACAAAGATCTTTAAATTCTAATACACTTCTGACGAAAATTGGAGGTGGAGGTTTAATTAGTTCATCTGGAATAACTTCGTTTGATATAGTTCCTTTTGGCGTAGCAGCAAAAACTTCGTTATCATTTTGAAATAGATCTTCAAAACGATTGATAGTTATGAATAGAGGTTTTTTTGATTTTTTGTTTTTCGGTAGTGTTGGTGATTTCAAACTTGTACTTGAAGACGTAGAGATATTTCTTTTGTTTTGGTTTTTATTATTTTTAATTTCCCAGTCGTTACCTAGATCATTCATTGAACTTAAACTGGCCGTTAATAAATTTTTACCTTTCTTGTTGATAAGTTGAATAGGAGAAACGATTTTATTTTGGACACCTTTTCAGTGCCGGCTCGACGGTTGTTGGAGTCAGGCGCAGAATTTTGCGGGGCCTCATATATATATATATATATTAATTTATTAATTTATTAATTTATTAATTGTTTATAAAAATCTATGTTTGTAGATGTTATTATATAACTAAATAATATTTCGAATTGTCGTCGACGATAAACAATTTTACAAATGCATGCGCGTGCAATACTTCAAAGCTATGCGTAATTGGTACCGTTTAAATTTTTGTCGATACAACTCGTCTCCTGGGAAAACCATAAGACCACACGGGTTGCGATTTGCGTACAGGGATTATATTATTTTACTTATAAAAAAAGTGATATTCGTAATACACAATTTGTGGGGCCCCATACAAGCGCGGGGCCCGGTGCAATCGCACGGCTTGCTCTCCTCTAGGGCCGGCTACTGTACCTTTTTTCATAATGAATAATTTTGTTATACTGTGCTTCATATCATTGGCGTAACTAACCGCTCACACTGCATGTAACCATCAAAATATTTATAAATTATAAGATGTAAGATACATTTAACTGGCGTTAAAGCGCAACCACTAGCTCCAGTACTATTTTATACGAAAATCGTGTCTCGAACAAAAATAATGAAAAAAAATTCTTTTATCATATTAAATACTGGTAATTATAACACTGTAATATATTATTCTTCTCAGTGTGTGAAAAATATAGCATGGCAGAACTGTGATACTGTACATGCCAGGCCCTGATTTATGCAAGTGCAGATAGAGCACTTGCATTTGGCCACCAATTTTTGGCCCCCCCCCCCCCCCGGTTTCCGTAAGTTGTAGAAAATTGTATTTTTGAATTAATTCCACAAACATTTATTTTGTAAAATGTACCTAATATCAAATGTCAATGTTTAGAGTTCAGTATATTTTTATCATTAAATTGTTAGTTGAATTTTGGTTATTTTTGTCATTCCACTCCTAGTTCTAATCAGTTACCATCACAAAATATTAAAATAATAATAATAGAAAATTGTTTGGACATCAGAAGTATTTGATACCTAATAATTATTTATAGATCTATTCGAGCTCAGTATTAACAGATTTACCCGTCGTTGATGACGCTACGAGAATTTCGTTCACGCAATCACCATTTTTAGAACCACTGGTTTATATTTCATTCGATTTTGAAATTTTATAAATTTTGAGATAGATATTTGATACTTTTGAACATATAAATATTTTTTTTTTATTATCAACATGTTCCCTCCCTTTATGTAGATTATTTTGACTTCGGGAGGGCCCAAAAAAAAATTGTGCACTTGGCCCTAATTTTATTAAATCAGGCCTTGGTGCGTGCATACATACAGAACATATCATTATAAGCTTAAAAGCAGCCACTGTTTCGTGCATTATCCGCGATAAATGTAGCGCGAATCATATGATAAGATATTTTGGTTTTCAGCAAATAGCCGGGAAACGTGTTTTGAGAAGGACATTTCGAGTCGTATTTTCGAAATAGATTGTTTTTGTGGTTTTCCGAAGCGTGGTTACTGCAGTAGCATACAACGTACGTAGTGTAATAACAATATCTAAACTTACACGAAATTACCAATCGTGAACACGCTGTTATTACAAATAATTAAATCGTATTTGCGCAGAAGCATGCCGTGCACGAGGACAAAATTCTATATTTAATAGCTCATCTGTGCACCTGCGGAAGTATTTGCCAAGTATCGAATACACCGTTGAAAACGCAAGCTGTACAAACGTTACCGTGTGTTTCTGAGTCACGAAATCACGGAAACACGGGTTAGTAATTGCACCAATTAATAATATTATAATGCGTATTCATCGTGGCCATCAATTACTTACGGAACGCAGTAGCAATATATATTATATTTAACCGCCAAGGAATCGCTCATTTCTATAGACTTGTTGAAATCCGTATACCTATTCTGCATTATATTATCATTATTGTTATTGTTATATCGTGCGTGAATCGTTGACGCTAATCTTTTCAAATGGCTGGTATACAGTGTTGTCCCGTACCTATAGAACGCATGAGAAATATCTACAGTCCGATTGAATAGACAACCGTTCCCACAATGATGAACAGTAGTGGTAAAAATATTAAACAATTATACAATATAAAGGGGACTTGACTAACAGCGGATTATACCAAGCGTACATATAGTGTTATTTTGAACTTAAAAAAATTTTTGTCTCAGTTACTCCATATTTTTAAGAATATTTATTTTTAATTATTAATTAGGAAAATATTACACTGCTATAGTGTAACATGATATTTTGACGTTGTCACTATTTAAATTCCAATAAAAACTATAACCTTAGTCTCATTAATTACATGTTACGATAAAAACTATAAATATCATTTTTATAAAAATATTAAAATTAGTTTATATTATAGAAGTATAGGATAATTTTAAGAATTCTCATGTAGCACCCTCTTTCAAATGCCAGTAATTTATTTGTTTTAGCCTTCCGTACTTTCTAAATTTCACTGTAGTATATTGTTACGCTCTGTATATATGTTGTATCTTTGAATGCGATTTTTGATCTAAAGGGAGCAGGTTTAGAGCAAGGTTAAAATGTTTCAAATAAATCGTCACTTGGTTCGTGACCGTCTAAGAATCTCAACCGGCATTGTTGTTGTAGTTGGCAGTCAGTACGATCGCCGCAACTAAACGAACCATAATTAATCCTAAGTAAGTACTTCCTAGATTATTTGTCTTTATATTTTTAATTTTATAAAACGCGTTTGAAATGTATGATTTTTTAGATAAAAAAAAAAAAAAAAAATCGCGAATATAATGGTTATAATGTAATTATTAACGCATTTTTAATTCTATATCCTATATATAATATAAAATAGTATATAATATATTTCTAAAAATGTTTAATATTTTTTAAATTGCAGTCTTTTAACCTAAATACGCCGATATTGCGTTTTCCAATTATTATCAAATAATTATCGAAAAAGGATGACATAATATTCATTGATATTTTATACATTTCAAAATTCATTACTTTTTTTTGTTAATTTACGATCCGTGTTCCATTTTGATACGTGTGATCGAAACCTTTGTATTTTATATGTATTTATGAAGTGTCGTTTTGTTTGAGCAACACAACAGTGCGCATTTTTATTTGAAATTATTTACTTTGTTCTACAATATTATAACCAAATAGAAACAACGTTCCATGATGTAAATGATGTAAGAAAATTTTATGATCGATTCACAATATTGTCTATACTAATATTATTATTCTAAGATTCAAAATACGTATATGTGTCTTTATTTAAATTAACTTTTATTGCTATTACCATTTATTTTTTATAATAATTTATTTTTATATAACTAATTGCTATTCACTATGTACATTTGAATAATTTTTAAGAGTTTCTCCAACATATGATTGTAACAATTGTTATCTCTGTTTAAATATTCTATCATTATACTATATATTTTACATATAAAAAGTGTAATCTTGTTGTACACAATAAAAGTACAGAAAACATATTCATTATCTTATAAACATATGAGTACTATTTTATGGTTTAATTTTGAAGATTATTCGTAACATAAATAATTTCAAATTCATACGTTTATAACCAAAATGATTTAGATTATTATTAGAAGAAATTCGCTCGATCCTTTATGTATTTTTTGATTATTTCATTCGATCGAATTTTGTAATTGTTTAAATTAATTAATTAAATTAAATTAATTTGGAGAGTATAAATGGAAAATAAAAAATATTTTTATTGAATTAGAACTATATTTTTAATACAAAATTAATTTGGTTATTTAATTTTTAATTTTAATAAAAAATATTATTTCGTTAAACACATTACAGCAAAATTAAACTGGTTTATATTGTTTTGATACTCTAAAGTTGGAATATACCAAATAATATTATATACCAATATCGTTAATATCAGTGATGGGAATTAATTGAAATGTATAAATAGAATATGTTTATTTTTTAGCTTAACATGAGGTGGTTATATATTATATACATTTCATTCCTGAGCGCTGTACTCTGTGATCCAGTGGTAAGAATCTCGAAAGGTTCTATAAGAGGACGGACTTCAAAATCAAGAAATGGTCGGGATTTCTATTCCTTTACTAGTATACCATATGCGAAGCCACCAGTTGACGAACTTAGGTTTAAGGTATATTATCTTGAAGTATAAAAATGTTAGATTTTACATACTCTATACATTTAAATTAATAACATTAATAACGAAATATTGTTCGAATGATTTTAGCCTCCACAACCAGTAGACTCGTGGGATGGCATTTTGGATGCTACAAAAGAACCGAATATATGTATTCAAAATAATCATTTCATCTTTTTAGTCAAAGATGTTATAGAAGGAGAGGAAGACTGTCTATATTTGAATGTTCACTCACCGAATTTGAATGGAAAACTGCCAGTTATGTTTTGGATTCACGGTGGAGGATTTCTCGCTGGCCACAGTAGGTCTGAACTGTATGGACCTGATTATTTTATGGACAAAGATGTCGTTTTCATATCTTTCAATTACAGACTCGGTTTATTTGGTAAGATTTATTGTATCACAACCTTGAACTCGTTTATTTATAGACGTTTAATCTGTCTTCTAGGATTTATCAGTACTGAAGATGACGTTATACCAGGTAACTACGGAATGAAAGATCAAGTCATGGCATTACGCTGGGTCCAAGAAAACATCGCTAAGTTTGGTGGTGACCCTGGACAGGTTACAGTGTTCGGTGAAAGTGCAGGAGGTGTCAGCACAGGATATCATTTATTGTCTCCGATGAGCAAAGGTCTCTTTCATAAAGCTATACTCCAGAGTGGTTCACCTTTGTGTACCTGGGCTGTAGCACCACCTGGGTTAATTCGTAAACGAACTGAAGCAGTTGCAACTCTTTCTGGATGTCAAGCTGATACTTCCTCAGAAATATTAGACTGCTTACAGAAACTTCCCGCTACTAATCTGGTTAAAACTCAGTGTAAATTTTTCGTAAGTTACATAACTTTTTTAAAAATAATACGGTTTAGAACGTTGAAATTTTTAGGTCACATGATTGACATTAATAAGTGACTTAGTCATAAACTGCAATGATTTCTATAGATGCACATTGAATCCATTTTCGCTGAGTCGAACAGAAAACTGTTTAATATTATCACAATTAGGTTAAACTTAATAATTTTCATATTTTAGGAGTGGATAAATCATCCAAGCGTAATGTTTCCTCCGGTTATTGAATCGTGTGATTCAAAAGAGGAGGCGTTTGTATGTAAAAATCCAATTACTGATTTCAAACAAGAATCAATAGTGCCTACTGTGATTGGTTTTAATTCAGGCGAAGGAGGCATATTTGTAGCAGGTAAGCAACGTTGTTTTCAATAAAGTAATCCTCTGAGTAAATTTGATTGAATTTATAAGTATAGAATACTTTTCATGTAGTTATAAAATAGATTCATATTGAAGTAAAATGATCTAAAAACTATCTTATTATATTTATTAGGTAATTTTTAATCTGATAATAAAAAACGATTATGAATACCATTAGATTTATATTAAATAAAAGTAAAAAAACAGTACAAAATAAATAAATAAAATAGTTAACAAAGTCGTTTACTGTTCTGGTCAAATATCACAAAATGAAGGTTTAGAGAGACAAGTACGGTGTACTCAGATTATTTAGCTACGACTTATTTGCTGACCTTTACCTTTTTACAATTCATTTACGCACAAAACCATAACTTGTTTGCACACAATTTACGAACAATAGTAACCTTTTTTCAGAAAAATTTATCTATGTATAGGTGTACATAACTGCGAACCTCTAAGTTTTTAAATTGGTCATTATTGAAGGTGAATAATTATTATACTGAAACAATATTTTCCTTCACCCTTTATAGGCTTATAAATTTCTATCTAATCATTTGATGTTATTGACTGACGGGTTTAAGAATGTTGTATGAGCTATTTATTTTAAAAGATCTTCTTTAGAAGCCATTATTCACAATTTTGTCAAATTACATAAATTACAATTAGGTACAATCATTTATACAAAAAAGTCATGAAAACATACAAATTGAACAAACTAAAATTGCAATAATTTTTCATATCAAAATATTTTATTTATTTGTTAATACATATTTAATATTTATTGGTATGCTTTTACGTTAAAAATTTTAAAAAATTATTTTTTTTGGATTTGTAATCAGAATAAATGTTTTTCATATAATTTTGTTTTTTTAATATTTCTATCATACGGATATTTTTTTAAATTTTTTTTAAAGAATTTATTTTTAAATCGGTATCAACTTGAATTTCCAACTTTCAAACTTAGAATTTGAATAATTTGGTGAATGTGAGGGTAGGAGTTATACAGTTGATTATTCTTAAGCTATTATATGGTTCACTAGCCCATAATTCTGGCCCAAAATCAGTATCAAATTGATTAATAATAATTTTTAATATATAATCTGTAAAATCCTTATTTATTAGGAACTATTGAAATTACTTCAGTAAATGCATTCGGAACTTTATTCATATATTCATATATACATTCATATATTCAAGCAAATATAAGTTGACTTGTATATAATACATACAACTTATGGGTAAAACAAACGATAAGAAAACAGGAATAAATCATTTTAGTTTCAATTAATCTAAGAGTTAAACACTAAAAACAGACTCTCTAATGTTAAATACATATTAAATATTACCAATTATTTATTATTTTAAATTTCTTTTGTATAATTCTATGAGTTCTATAAGTTAATAATGATCTACAAAATATATGTTATTAAATAAAATATATTGTATCGTAAAAAAGTTACCATAGTTTTTTTATGCTCTTTAACATAAATACATAAACTATGGAGCAAAAGAGAATAATAACAACCAGTCATCTATTCACATAATAAATTATCGTGTTTTAAAAGTTATTTTTTGTGCTTATGTTTAAAGATTGATTTTTACTTTCAACGCTTCAAATGTAATACATAAATAGTATAAATTGAATCAATAAAATATAAATAAAATTAGAATATATTTATAATATAAATATAATATATTATTCATATAATTAATGAGGCAAACCATTTGCATTAATTAAGGTTTGTTTCAAATGATTCTTTCTTCAAATAATTTACAAAAATGTAACATCATTATTTTAATATATATTGGTCATATTAATTGTAACGAATAATTGTTTCTTAGAGCTATAATTTAAATATGCGAAGAAATTAATTTTTATTTATAATTATCTATAATAGCTATATAAAGTTGATTCGACTAATCAAAATTCAACAAACCAAAAAATAAAATATTTATCTGTAAGTCAATAAATGTTTTATCCTTCACGATGTTTTATTGCGTGTGGTTAATATTAAATACCGTGATGAGCTATTTTTATTTTGAAATATTCTCTGTTCTATAGTTATCCACATTCTATCGGTAATTAGATTTTAAGTTCAGAAACCGGTTTTATTTTAATAGATCTCTTTAGGAATTTACTATACAAGACCTTGAATTTAGACAGAGTAGATATATTCCATTCACAACATATTTATTTGTCTTACAAAATCGTATTTTTAAATTATATTTTCAGAATTGTTTAATGAAACATCTTTGAGATATCCGGAAATTAACACGGATCCCGGTCGTCTGTTGTCTTATCTGATAATGTACCAGCATCTGGTACAACCCAAGTATTTGGAGGACATAAAAGATAAGGTTATGAAAAAATATTTCCCGTCAGGAAAAATGGAAGATCACTCGCATTTGGATGCAGTTAATGTATAGTATATATTTTTATAACGCATTTACCTCATAAAAATGTTTACTTCACTTCTAATTACATTTTAATTCGTATACATTTATGTATAGATGATCAGCGAAGGCGTTTTTGTTGCGGGTTCCATGACCATGGCTTTAAAATTATCTTCACCGGTCTATTTTTATTTGTTTGATTACGAACAAGAGTTTTCATTTAATAAAGTATACGGTCAGTGTCAGAAGCATCTGGGAGTTAGCCACGGTGATGAAATGATCAGTTTGTTCCCGTTGAAGTCATTAATTCCCAAAGAATTAAACGAAAATGATAGTAAAGTTTCAAAACTCATGGTTGATATTTGGGTAAAATTCGCCTCATCTAGGTGAGTTTATTTTTTTTTATTATTAGTAAAGTATGTATTATATATGTATTAGTAAAGTACATTTATTATCGGGTAGTAAAATATCACCAATTTTAACATTTTAATTAAAAACCAAGGCTTTGCAACCGAATAATTTTTTCGGGTTTCGGGTTTGGGTGTTGAATATATTCGGGTATTCAAACACCGCAATACAACATTTAAACAAACGTTTGGGTGTTAATAACCGTTATTGTTCGGGTTAATATTGTTTAATACGAGTGTTAAGTAGTCAAGGAAAAATATTTTTCATTGGTGAAGGGCGGTGGGAAGGTTGAGCGCCCCTCCACTAATGAAATATTTATATTTTTTGTTACCCGCCTATGTAATAAAATATCAATTTCTTATACAACTGTGCAACAGTTTTTTAGACCAAACTATCATTATGTTAATTTCAAGCAATAGTGTAACTACGATTTATTTTCGGGGAAGAGGGGGTTATTTTATATGTGTATGAAGCTTATAAATTATAATATCTATTAAAATTAAAAATACTAACACTATGTACTACTCCTAGTTAGTGCGGGCATATCGTATGCGACAAAAAACAGATTTTGTATTCTGCGTTTGTGTTTGTGGCATAGGCAGGGGCGTAGCGAAGCCATTTTTTTAGGGGGGAAAAATAAGTCCATTTGGCCGACTATTAAAAAAAAATATGCATACAAGTATAAAATATGTTTTATTTTTTTATTTTTTTATTTTACAATATTGTTAGTGTTCTTACTTTAATATTAAAAATTAAAACTATTTAAACTTATTTATACTTTAATAAACTTGAGCTTTAGAGGATGAACATTACAGTAAATAAAACAATGGATATTAAAAGTTATTAAATACAAATTCTTCTTGTTTTGAAAATTGACCATTGTTTAGCAATAATATCTAACTTAATATTATCTATTATGTCTTTTCTCGAGGAAAGTAACAGTAAATCGCTTAAACGGGAGTCACTCTGGGTTGTCCTTAAGTATTTCTTTACCAATTTTAACTTGCTAAATGAACGCTCATTTCCAGCAACAGTTACTGGGAGCTGTACATAGCAAACGTACGAGGAATGGGCTTAATTATTGCATGTAATAATTTTTATTATATTTTCCATTAAAAAAAAATTTGTATGTTGATATACCTTCGCAACTAAAAATGAATATATCATCTGTAAACGCAATATTTTTATTTATTGTTGCCATAAATACCTATACATATATTTTAACTAATACAACTAAAATACTGCCTAGTGTGTATAATAATAATTTATTAAATCAAAAATATAAATAAATGTATTGATTTACTTTAAAAAAAATAAGTAATTTTATTTTTAATTAACTAAGGTATATTTACATTAAGAGTACAATTATTATGCATACAAGAGTTATTAATGAAATAAATTATTTAATTAACTACCTATAAAGGAAATAGTTATTTATTTATTTTGTGTGATTTATTATGTCTATACTAGATATGGCTTTTGAATCTTTTACGTAAATATTTTATTAACTTTTGATATTTTACTTACTTAATAGTAAACACGAAACACATAACTTTGATAAGTTTTATACATTACGTAATATACATAAACTATTCATTAAAAATTTAACGTAAATTTAGATTAATAAATGAAAACGCTTACCTCTATTTACGTCGATTTAGTAGGTACTGTGACTAGTTTCAGTGCACACGTACAGATACACAGTAGAAAGAGAAATAAAATAAATGAAAAACACAGTTGTCACTTCTTGTCAGTTGATAGGTAATGAATATTTACTATAATAACAAATTCTAAAAATACTGGGATTGACCAGCGGGTCTACGGGTGACTATTGTAATAATTTAGCGGGTGTGCGGCATATACCGACATACGGTATACACGTACACAAAACAAAAATACGAATATAAATATGTGTAAAGATAACAACTCAAAATAGATGTAATCAATTATATATACGCTAACATTAGTTTCAGCATTAGACAGTAACGAAATATTACATGTTATTATTTATTTTGTTGATTTTAATTAATGCTTTTTTTTTCAATGATCTGTGGCTGTATTAATATAAAATCATGTATTTATGTCTATCGTCTATGGGCATGTAAAACACATACAATTTGAATCGTAAAATCAATTTTTTTTTGTTGGATTTCATAATTTCGATTTGGCCGCCTACAATATTAAAAAAGTCTGAATGGCCCACCGTGGTAAGTTTAGAGGGGCATCTTGCCCTCCTGCCCCGCAGTTTAGTTTTAATTTCGCCCCTGAACATAGGCGGAAATCGGGGGGGTCTTGAGGGGACTAAGCCTCCCCAGAAATATAAAGTATAGGTCTTAGCCCACCTAGCTCTAAAAATTGTTAAGTGACTAAAAATACAATAATTATTATAATTGTAAAGTGCATTTTTAATAACCGAATTAAAAAAAAATATTCTGTGATAAAAATTAAATTTAATTCGTAAGATTTTACAAACTTTTTGTCATGACTTGGAACGATCGCAATTAATGTAATATTAATAATATATAATAATACCCGTATAGTTTGTTTAATTTAATTAATCAATAATTTCTGTTTATAATACCTACTCCAAAAATGTTTTAGATAAGGCACCGAATTGTTTTTTTGTTTAAATTGTTGATTAAAAATGTCAAACTGTCAAAGTTCGTAAATTGACTTGTTAAAATAAATAATTGCGCACAGTGGTCTCTATAGGTGTAATAAGCAAATAATGCTCAGTCCCCCAAAAATTTCACCACATTTTCGCTTTAGGTCTATGGTGCGTGCACACACTAAAAACGCACTAGCTAGAACAGTGGTGGCCAAACTTTTTTTTCCTCGGGCCATAAAAAACAACTTTTTTTTTATCGCGGGCCATAAAAAAATGCATTCTAAATTTTTTTTTACGTAAATGCAAAATATTACAGTTATACAAATAAGTGCTCTAATATAGAAGACTTTCGCGGGCCAGATATTAAATGATGGCGGGCCGGAGTTGGCCCGCGGGCCGTAGTTTGGCCACCACTGAGCTAGAACATAGCGTAATACAAAAATAATAATAATTTGTACTTATGAATGTTACGATGAAATTATTACACCAAAAAAATTGACAATTCACACCATAGACATATGTATTAAACGCCATACACCGAACAAATACGAATAACGCGAACAACAATTTAGGTAATCATACGCGAGATATCAATTCTATTTCAGACTTATAGTATTGCAATAAATAATGACTCGGTGATTCTTGTAAGACCTATTACCTATTCAATTATAATAATACGACGTATCCGCTTGGGATAATTTTAAAAAATAGTATCCCAGTTGTTTACACTTGAACATTCAACATACCATACCATTCATGCACATCTGTCAGTATGATATATAGCTTTTGTCTTTATTTAGATAAATTTAGATTAATTAACAATTTTGTATATTATTTGTGAAATTATTCTTGTAAATAATAATTTTACTATTAAACAATTAATGACAAAATTGAAATAACCACAAAAAATACATACAAAATGATATGTTACATAAAGATTGTAAAATAAAAAATTATTCGGGTTTTGGTTAATTCAGATGTTTAAAAAAAAAAAATCATTCGAGTTATATGGGTTTTGGGTGTTTGATTTTTTAAGGGTTTTTTGGGGTGTTATGGGTTCGGGTTAATTCGGGTGCAAAGCCCTGCTAAAAACATATTTTTTTAAACAAATTATAAGTAGTTCATACATATTGTGTTTACGTCCTATATAAATAAATAATCGTTTTAGGACACCAACTGTGGATGGAACAGACAATGGATTAGCTTGGCCAGTATTTACTACAGTTGAAGATTCATCTTTATTGCACATAGATTCAGCTCAACCATCAGTTATAAAAAATCCATACGAGGATAAATTCAAATTTTGGAGTGGATTACCTTTAACCTCTCGTTTAAACATATCTATCCCATCTATCTCAACAACAAAATCTTATGTCAAAAGTGAATTTTAGTGTTAAATTTTTATTACAGGCCTAATATGCATAATTTGATGACAAAACGGAATGTTAAAAGTATAGGATTATAATTTAAAATAATTTATGTAGATATTTTTATTGTATAATTGATTACTCGATTTGAGAGGAATGGTTTTAAATTTAACTTGTATGATTTATTGGTTGTGATTTATACATTCATTTTATCTTTCAATTGAGACTATTTGACTTTTTTATTACTTAAAATAATGTTATTATATAAAAATAAAAAAATCAAGTATAACTTGAGCATTCCTATTTCAGTTTTATTTTTATAAAATGATAATTTCATAATTTATTTGTGATAATGTGTGTGTGTGTGTGTGTGCATGTAAGTACATATCAATCCAATAATTTGAAAGTTGAGTTTTCAAAGTCAAATATGATGGTGTAATTTAAAATCAATGTTTTTTTTGTCACTTAATACATTTAAGCTAAGACTATGGCTAAATTTACTTAGATAAATTTGGTGCTAAAATGTAATTTCTTATTTCTCTAGGTCTCTTGAAAATATCGACCGAAATATTTAGTATTGTTTTGAGAAATTGTTTGAGAAAATATAAAAAAATTTATATCATATACACTAATTTTATAAAATAGCCTAAATACAGGTTTTAAAATGTAAAAAAGGTGGAAATACTGGATAGTTCAAAGCTCGTTCTATTTGGAGTGATAAATAAAATAAAGAATATTGCTGTATTGGTATTTGAAAGATGAAGTCATCGCTTCTAATAAATAATGAGCATGATCTGGAAAAATCACTGGAAGAAATTACGAGATGCTTCCAAAAATATTACCTGATTATCAAGTGGCAAAAAACTAAAGTTATTAGGTGCCAAAAAGAAAAACGAATCCGTAGAATTAATGTACAAACAGGGAACTAGCTGCTTGTACAAGTGGAACATTATAAATACCTTGGCAGTATATCAATCAAGACGGAAGATAGATCATAGAAATAAGATTCAGAATTGCACAGGCAAAGTCAGAATTTATGAAAGAGAAAAAATTGTTATGCTCCAATAATATGAGTATTAAGATAAGTAAACGTTTCATAATAGAATATGTTTGGAGTGTGACACTCAATGGTTGCGAAACATGGATAGTAAATAAAATAGAACAACGAACATTCGGAAGCTTTGAAATGTAGAGTTGGAGAAGGATGCTCGGATAGAACACCGTACCAACGAAAACATACTCAATGAAATAGATGAACAAAGAAAGATTATTCAAAGCCATCAGAACAAGACCATGGAACATGATGGGTCACATATTGAGACATGAAGATGAACTAACCCATAGAATAATGAAAGGGAAAATTGAAGGTAAAAAGGATCGAGTAAACCGAGACCTTCATTTGTCAAACAAATGATCTCCGAGGCTGCCTTAAAGGGTTTAATACCAAAAAGAAGACATTATTAGTGTTTTAACTTTAAAAAAAAAATGTAATATTTGGGCAAAAATCGAAAATTTATAGAAGAAATAAAATGCCTTGCCGCGGTGGTGGTGGCGTTGCGGTGGCGTTAAATTTGTACACACGTATTGTAATGGGAGTCCGCACACTGCAGCGGTAATTCGGCCGCGGTAAAATATAGTCGCTGCGATATTTATAAAAATCGCAGCATGCTTGATCTTACCGCCACCGCGCAGCGGTATTTTCAATTGACTTATCGAATATGCACTTATTAGTACCTATACTCAAGAGCGTCCATCTTCAGAAATCTAGGGGAGGACATAATGTTTTATAATAAAATTTACCTTCATATTTAATTGTCATAGGTAATGTTATATATATATATATATATATATAAACCTATAAAGTTATTATTTTTTTTAAATATATAAAATAAAATTTTATGAAAAATGAAAATATATAAAATGATAATTAATACAATATTAAAAATGTAATGTAATCATCGTGCTTTATTATTTAAAAATAATTAATTTTAGTAACTAAAACACAATAATTCCAAATTGCGTTTATTTTTGGAAAATTCATTAATAACATTATCAACTAAATTTATATCTTGAATTTACTCGTATAAATATAAAATTAGGACACAGCGTTTCCACTACACGGTCTCACTATTTAAAGTACCAAAAAGCCAGGGGGGACATGTCCCCCTTTTTCCCTCCCCAATGGACGCCCATGCCTATACTATCTAATATATATGGTGTATATTAGTCTAGACTTCGATTATTTATTTCCTAGAAACTATTCAAGTTATAGTTTAATATACTATTTAACTTAATTCAAAATAATTCAAAATAATTCATATAAAAATAATCAATACAATATTATATATATGTACAATAGTATAAGTATTTAATAACCTACTAACGTACTATATAGATAAATCGTCAATTTATCAATGACATAGGAATTAATTATCGTAGTTTGAGAACCATTAAGTTAAATCATTATTCAAACACTTTTAACGATAAAATATTAATTAAGACCATGAGATATCATTGATGTAATATATTAAAATTATTACGTATCATTTTATTTGATTATCATGTTACTAATTTTTAATATACTTTTATTGTACATGAAATAACTATATGGCACTTAAATTTTTTTGTTAAAATTCAAGTCATCTGCCCAGGATAACTTTAAATAGTTTCTAGTGCTTATAAAACGTCCTCTTTAATATTTCTCCGAAAAAATTACTGAACCGCTCAATTGTTAAAAAAAAATCATACACAACAAAACAGTAGAAAAATTGGCTTTGTGATTTAATTGATGTCACTAGGTGTTAAACAGTGTTCTATAAACAAAACTGTTTAATATTAAATATAAATTACATAGTAATATATACTTATATAGGTATGCGGTGTTTTATTTCATTTAAAGATATTAACAATTTGTTATTTAAAACAATAAGCAATTGATTTACAAGTTTATATTTTTTTCAGCACATGAATAGTTTGCGAAGGAAATTTTTTCACAAACAATACCTCATAATATATAGACAGAGGCAGAACTAGGGGATGGAAGACAGGGATTCATTCCCGGTTGTAAAATTGTAGAGGGTGTAATTTTTGTAATTATTAACAACTAATTTGATATTTTTAACTTTGTTAAATACTGTTATTAGGTTTAAACTTAATAAGTATGATTGTATATAAATTATTAGAAAAAAATTCTCAAAAAAAAAGAAAATTTGATTATTGGTCTATGATAGGGCATAATTTTAACATTTTTCCCGGGCGTAAAAATTTCTAGTTCCCCCCTCTGTATACAGACACCATTAATAATTAATAACCTTTGGTAATTGTATGGGAACGAATGGAACGTTGAGAATGGTATATGAAATAGAGTCCCTCTGCTATTTTTCGTCATTTTCAACCCTGCATTCATGGTTTATTTATTAAGATTATTATTATAAGCAAATTAATCTAATTCTTTATATAGTAATACCGTACTTTGATGAGCCATCAGAGTGATCGTATATTATTACGTTTTTTGATATCAATATTTTCTCTCCGGCATTCACCGTTTGCTATTAAAGCAACGTGTTAGTTTGGTACATTTTTATACTTGCCATCGTTCACCAAAAAATTAATTAATCATTATTATTATTCTCTCCGTTGCAGAACTCTTGTAAATTATTACTACCCCCCTACTCTCCCGATACTTAAATTCTAACATTATTTATTATTATTGCACTGAACCTTACGTAATTGTTAATGTGACTGGTCTTTCGATAAATGTACATTTAGACTGGAGTATTATTATTTTATTTTTATTTTTTATTGTAATGTATGCCATTCAGCTTTTAAACAAATAAATCATTCAAATTAAGATCTAACATAAATTAAATATATATATAAAGTATATAACAAAAACGAGGTGTGTAACAATTGATTTTTACTACGTATACAGTTGACGTTAAAATAAATTTAACTGTGAAAATTCTAAAACATAATACTTTACGATGTAAAATTTGGCCAAGATACGAAAATACTAAACACTGAAGTTATTGGCAATCTACATAATCTTAACTAGACAAGAATTATTTGCAAAATTAGAACGGTTCGCGGGTAAATACATTAAAGCCTGAAACCTGGTGCATCCAGCTACTTGATTGTCGAGCCGTTCTAACAAACGGGGTGCATCGATAGTTCCTTCAATCAGTGGCGGATCTACGGGGGTGGATATGGGGGATAGATCCCCCCCCATGGGCCGAGAGTTAAAAAAAAATTTTTTGCAACCAATTCAATTTTTGCATGCATAATTTAAATATTAACTATTCTTTTATTATTTCGTAACCAAGGATACACTAGTATACATTAGTATCGAACTTCATATCAGACTATAGATATACACCTAGTATTTATATCATGATCCGGAATACAGCCAGAGAGTAATGGGACAGTCATCAAGAAAATTAAATTTTGTTTTATAAATTTAGTAGAATAAAGCTTATTATACCTATACATATTATGTACGAAAATATTTTATATCCCCTCCCCATGATAAAATCCTAGATCCGCCACTGCCTTCAACTAATCTATTATTGAAATTACAACAGGAGGTATTACGGTGTTCGGTTAGTGATTTTAAATTGAAAATATCGCTGATAAGACTATAGTTGTGTAGCAAATGGGGAATTTTAAGGCGATAATTAACAAAATTTAGGAAACGGTTTTGAACTTTTTCTAAACGTCGCATGTCAACTAAGGACGAGTGTTAAGTTAGCCCCCCCACTATAAAAAATGCTTTCCAAAATAATTGTAACCTTATTTTTTTAATTTGTAAATATTTGTAACCAAGTTTTTAGAATTTGTAACCTCATATTTTTCAAGCTACGAGTACTTTCTTAATAAGGGGCTAACTTCACGCAGCCCCCCAAATTCAACGAAATCGTCCAAAACAAATTATAACGGGGTTAATCACGCAGCAATACTACATACGTTGTATACACATATTGATAGACTTAATTGATTAACTTATATAGGTTAACCTAACCTAACCTTCCGAGTAGTTGTAAATTTTTCAATAAGGGGCTGACCCTCCTAATTCAACGAAATCGTCCAAAACAAATTGTAACTTATAAAACTCAATTTTTAACTATTTGTAACCAACTTTTTGGAATTTGTAACCTCGGCCTTTTCGAGT